TATTGTTTGGAGATATTTAGCTGGAAGGTATTTTAATGGTTCAAAATATGGCTGCTATGAAATAAAATTTGTAAGACATGGCTGAAATGAGGAATGAATGAATGTCTCAGAGTTTTTTTAGTTAATTGCTTAGATATCTGAGTGTTAGATGTACTTCAGGGCAGCCTGTTTAAAACTATATTGGTCAAAAAATACCTTTTACTTTTATTATAGTAGGCTTTTTAAATTAGTTAACTTGCAAATTGTGCATTGGTCGCTTACGTTCATTTTTTTTTCGGGGGGGGGGTGTGAAAAAAAAAACAAGCAAAGGGGAGCAGACTGATTTAGAAATTTATATAAAATAAAACTAGACAGCATGGAAGAGCTGCAAAAAGAGGTCTTGGTAGAAACTGGAACTGTTCAGAAGTCAGAAGAATCTCTTTTTTTGCAATGAGCTGCAGCCATAGCTGCTTTGGAGAGTGTGCAGAATGATTTCTCATGCCCAGTGTGACTCAGCAAAAACAAAAGTTATCAGCAAAGAATGATAAAAGGAGTTAAATCAATACCAGCTAAATCAATACCAGCTAGTCTCTTAAAAAACACTGCCAAAAAATAAGGAAATGTTTTACAGATTCTTCAGTATGGCAAAGGAAGTCTATGGAAATGCTTTCATCAGAGTACCTAACAGTGAGCGTAGGACCCGCCCTGAGAAAGGCAGCCAGATCTTAATTTTGCAAGCAAAATTCTGGGTTAGTTGCACTCATGGCAGTTTTGGCTGCAAGGTCCGGCACCTGTTCAGCTCATGTTCTTGCAGCCTAAAATCTGTTTTTGCAAGGTGTCATGGTGGTGTTTAATCTGCTCTCTGTCACTGTTGTTTCAAAACAAGTATCTGACTGTCTGCTGAATCCAACACATAGAAATATAAAAGTTTAGAATAGTAAAACTATTCTTACACTCAGGCCAACAAATGCTGTTTTCCTGACAGGAAACATGTACTAAAGGGTAGTCAAAGCTGTGCTCAGTGTATTTGGTGAGGTCTCTAACTAGAAGCCATGTCTCTTGCATGGCTTTTGTGACAGCGTTCCAGTGGGAAATGTGAATTTTTACTTACTCTGAATTATCCTATCATACTGAAAGGATCACATTTTGAAAAAAGTTAAGCAAAATTACTGTATGTGCAGGAGAAATATTTTTAGTTCTGGTTTTCCAGTCAATGTTAATCCTTGCTAATTTATAGGAAACAATGAACACAATATTAAAGCATTGTCTAGTAATTTTTATTAGGTCTTACAAGTAGCTGACCAATGGTCAGTTTCAAGTAGTTTATGATGGCTCACAAAACTTCTTACATAGAAAATTTTCAAAGTAAATATAGATGAACTCAGGTACCCATATGTTTGAACATATCTTTAGAATGAGATTTTCTTGAAACTCTTCTCCAGTTTGAACATGTCTTTTATTGGCTGAGAACAAGATCAGCAGTAAGAAAGGTCTGGGATCTAGTTTTGACTTTATATATTACAATGCTTTTGAAATGTGATGGAAACTTGCCTTTGAAAATTTCATTTTTCTCAGTACACATGGGTTATTTTTTTAAAAATCTAAATCAAAGCAAAATAGTGTTTTCTTCTCAAGGAAGAATACAAAGGTATGTCAAAGGCTTTCAAGCTGTTTAGTTCCATTACTGAATTCAGAGCTATCAAAGTGAAATAGCTGCCTTATATTCTTCTATATAATATTTAAGTACTTACTGCCTATTGTAGTGTAGGGTAGTTGAATAATTTAACTTTATGAACAGTCACCCTGAACTTTTTCATAATACTGGTGATGTCTGTAGTGAATTGCAAATAAGTTTCCATCAGTGTAAAATTGCGTGTTAAAACACTGAATGTCATGTATTGATAAATAACAATTGAAAAAAAAACAAATCAGTGATAATTAGTAGAAAATAAGTCTCAGTTGCTAGATCTGAAAAAATAATTTTCATAGAATGTTCCTGATGAAGATTTTTGTGCAGGTTCTGTAGTTTTCTAGCCATAATATTTTATTTATTGCTGCTTCAAAGAAGCAGTCATCACAACAGAGGGGAGGGTTTTTCAGTGGTGTGGTAACCTTTTCTGAGAAGGTGCTAATCCTTCTGACAGGTATATAGTGTTTAATTGAACTGGCAGCTGGATGGTGCATATCACAGCTGTTGACACGCATTTAAATTTCTCTTAACTTCTAATATTCCAGGAAAGTCCTGGAAAGACAGTTGTTTGCTATCGTGGATCTAGATGGAGGTACAGGAAGAAAGGCCTTTATAAAGGTATCTTTCAGGTAGTTAATGATGAGAAACGGATTAGACAAAGGCTCATGAAGGTGATTGAGAATTAGCTTGTGATCTAAAAATAAGAGCAGATTTTTAATAGTAGTGACTGGCCATAGGAGTACTGTTCCTCTTAGTATGATTTAATAGCACTGGTTTAAAAGGTATACCATGCATTGCACAGCTGTGTTGGTAGCAGGTATTTTTAAAATGACAGGCTTGATTCATATGTAATACACACTGAGTATACACAGTGTATTAACAGTAGAGTATGTGTACATTCCATGTGCACAGGTCTCAATCTTGCAATGAGATCCTTGGATGAATGCAGATATGTTGAGTGCCATTTATTCCAGTTGGATTTGCATGGAGATAAAAGATTTTGCCTATAGGGTCAGAATTGGTGAGCGGAAATTAAGCACATTTTTGTTGGTGGTGTGTCAGAAAATTTTCAGTGATGTGAGTGATTTGCTATTGGAACAATGAAGTTTGGGATGTGGCATATTTTTCATCAGCTGAAGTATTTAAATGAAAAGTATTTAGTTTCTTTAAAGAACATTTCTACATCTAATCTCTGTTATCTTAATGAAAACATCTACGTCTTTGCAAACTAACTGGGTTCTGGTAGTTCTGTTGTCCTAATTGTCTGTTCCTGGCTATTTTGGTTTTAAACTTCACAAAACTCTTTTCATATCACATTAGGATGATTCAACTTACAGGCCTTCATAGCAGAATCCATAGAGTTTTTGTTAAGCTTACAGAGGTCATGACTTGTTCTGGTACTAACATGACACTTTAATAAGACAGACAGGACATGTTAGCTACACCATAATCGAGTAGGCATCCCAGCGATGCTTGTATTACTTGTCATGCTTCACAGGAAGTGTTGCATTTTTGCAAGATTGAATTAGTTTTCTATTTGTAGCTACTGCTGTGAGGATAAAGTACTTTAATATTTATAAGGCAAGACTGGGTCCAGATCTTTCAAGCACAGTTTAATGACCCTGTACAGTACCTAAGATGGGATATCAATTTGCCAGTCACCCCCTTGCACACACTCTGCTCAGGCAGTGGTGGTTTTCCCCTGCTGAGCAGAGACTGCATTTTCTTTCTGACTGTGAGAAAAGCGGTCTTCTCTCCTACTAGCTAAGCAGAGCCCTTTCTACTTTCCTGGGCACCAAGGAGAGCCTGTTTTTCCTTTTCCCTTTACTAAGTTGAAGCCTTTCCCTTCCTTATCCCTTCTAGGAAAACTGTGGCAGCAACAGGGCTGTGTCTTTGCTCTCCTTTTTCCTGTTCTTCCCAACAGTAGGCAGGATCTTCTGGTTGTTGCCTGTAAGGCTGCCCTTCAGGATCATTGGCTATCTGTGAGGGTAGAAAACCATTTGCAAAGGGATCTTAGTTTTAAAGATAGAACTAAATATAAGAGGAAAGGGGTGATAATACAAAAATAGGTTCACATACATATTTTCATTACTTAAAGCTTAAGCTGATCTGTCTTATCCCAGAGAAGGCCTGCCTCCAAGTCACTTTTATCCACATCTGGGATCTTTGCTCCAGTTTCAGCAGGCAACTCCTTCAGATCCCTCTCGGGTGAAGGACTAAGTATGAATCTGGATGTAGCAGTTTAAATGCTCATTATCCTTTTAAGATTGATAAAGGCAGGATCTGATATTCCAGTTTGTTTTTTCACTATGAATCACTACTCCCTATTTAACTGATCCCCTATAATCAAGTAGCAAATAACATTGTATCAAAAAAACCCAGAACATATAATATTCATAATATATTCCAGACACATCCTCTATTAAAACATTCCATGTAATAAAATGACATGCTTCAGTCAATCATTTGTCAATGTCAGGAAAGAACATCTGCTGATAATTCTTTTTTTTTAACCTTTTTTCTGAAACCTCAGAAGTTGTTTATGGCTAGATTTCATCGATGACAAAGAGTCAATGCTTAATATGGTACAGGAACTCCATTCTGGTATCTGGCTGGTCTGTCTTGCTCAAATGTTTGGACTAATAATATTGCCATCCCTAAAGGCATGGGAAGGATTTATTTATATTTTTTTTTTCCAAGTCAGAGATCAGGATTTTGAAGCTCTTTCCCTTCTATGCAACACAAGAAATGTTCTGTTTTCTGAGTTTAGGTCTTCTGAGCTCACTGGGTTTAGATAAGTGCTGCCACTGGATCTTTCTTTGTCCTGTTCTCTGCCCTTGGCACACATTATAGTTCTGTGGGAACTGATACGTATGTTGTTAAGCCATAATGGTTGCTAGAAGATCAAACCAACTGAATGGTCCATCTAGACTTAATTTCTACGGTGATTATAAAACCCTATGAAACAGAAGTTTATAGTCAAGTTGCTATAAAATGATTACAAAGGATTATAAAATTTTGGTACTTGTAAAGCAGTTACAACTACAAAGTAGAGTAAGTGTTTGTATTCTATGTTTCATAATGTTGTAGTAGCATTTTTCCTTTAAAGCTGTTTTTGATTTAAACTGTGCACCATAAGCAAATTTGTAGCATGACATACTTTTTCTTTAGTTTAGTATTGAAAATACATGAGTGCATTCACAAAGAAATGCAATGAACTTTTTTTTTAATCAGATGATCATTTTATTATTTAATTAGCATTAACTGCATATTTGTCTTACAAGAAATATTGACAAAATTCTCTTCCTTCCTTCCTGTCATGATTGTTTAGGAAAAGAAGCCCATCAATATCAAGAGAACAGAATAGAAGATACGATCAAAGGGACGAGCGAGACGAATATCCACAGTATGCTACATCAGACAGTGCGATGCCCAGGTCACCATCAGATTATTCAGATAGGCGGTCACAGCGTGGGCCTCAGTTATATGAAGAACCTGAACTGGGTGATTATAGAGATTCAAACAGAAGGAGTCGCAGGCGTTCCAAGGAGTATTCGGTAGAAGAGGAAGATGCACAAAACAGGGAAGAATATGAAAGGCAGCGGAGGGAAGAGGAATACCAGGCACGATACCGAAGTGATCCTAATTTGGCTCGTTATCCTGTCAAGCCACAACCATATGAGGAACAAATGCGTATCCATGCTGAAGTGTCCCGAGCACGCCATGAGCGGAGACATAGTGACGTCTCACTCGCAAATACTGAGTTGGAAGATTCTCGGATGTCCATGCTGAGGATGGAACGACCATCCAGGCAAAGATCAGTATCTGAGCGCAGGGCTGCCATGGAAAATCAGCGTTCATACTCTATGGAAAGAACTCGAGAGGCTCAGGGACCAAGTCCCAGTCGTCAGAGGACCACAAATCATAGCCCTCCTACACCTAGGAGGAGTCCAATTCCTTTGGATAGACCAGACATGAGGCGTTCTGATTCATTAAGGAAACAACACCATTTGGATCCCAATTCTGCTGTACGGAAAACAAAACGTGAAAAGATGGAGACCATGTTACGGAATGATTCACTCAGCTCAGACCAGTCTGAATCTGTCAGACCTCCACCACCAAAGCCCCATAAAACAAAAAAGGGAGGTAAAATGCGCCAGGTTTCATTAAGTAGCTCTGAAGAAGAATTGGCATCCACTCCGGAGTATACAAGTTGTGATGATGTAGAGATTGAAAGTGAAAGTGTTAGTGAAAAAGGTAAGATTTCTAACTTTTTGACTGTTTCAATATAGATGTGGTTTAGTTTCCATTCCATTGTATGTTTTACCTATAAGAATTGATTGTAGCGACATACCTACAGTGCTTCATAGGTGACTCAAGTTTGTTGTGAGGGGAGTTGTCGTCTGATTCTGTGTTTCATTGACTTAAATCTAAATTTAATGATTTACATGGAAAAGAACATAACAGCTACTAGAAGTATTATATATGCGGAAGGAAAAACATACCTATTGAAAAACCTGTTAGTTAAATCTGCGCAGTATCTAAAGCTGGGCTGTCATATAAGACCGTGGTTTTGTGTCCATGAATGCCAGGTTTTTGTACTCCTGGATCACAATGTGTGCATCTTTGATATGGATCAAGTGTGGGTTCATGACAGTATTTCTGTTGAATTAACTAGAGCACATGATACAGAGGTTATGCCACTTTCATGCTGGCTGCTGCTGGTTAAAGAGAATCTGATCTGCAAAAAACCCTGTGTGTATGAAGTTAACCCATTGGAGTTTGTAAACAAATTTAAAGTGACTGATGGAGGTTTCTTTTTGCTGTGGGGCTACAGTGCTTCTTGGTTTAGTGCTATTTAGGATTCATGGTGTTGGAGTTACTCCATTGTCAGAAATTAATTTGCATACCTTCATGTATGTTATTGGTCTAAAGTACAGTAGTTATAACCTGTTTTCAGTTATTGTTATGCTAGTGCATGTTTACTAATGAATGGTCATCTGCTTTTGTGGAATAGGTTTAGAAAATTTCCTACTATTTTTATTAATATTACCATCAAATTGGTTCTGAAGCAAATAATTAATTAGAGTTGGTAACTCTGAATTTTCATATGTCAACAGCAGCAATCATGGTCTGATAAATAAGGAGCATGATAGTGTATAACGAAAGGAAATTTCACACAGGTGAAAGCAGTTAAATGCACTTACATGAAATAAGCGTGGTGAAAACTTGACCCCCTTAGTCTTGATGAGTAATAAAACTATCAGCTTCTGAGTGTTAATGATTTTGTTTTTAGTAGCAGCCTTCAGGAAAATAGACCCAATGAATATATGGGAAGTTGTAACAAAGTGTTTATTTTATGAAATTCAGCATAGAAAATATAGTCTACAAACATATTTTTTGTACACATAACATACAAAACTTACACATTTACAATCATAGAACTGTTTAAGCTGGAAAAGACCTTTAAGATCATTGAATCCAACCATTAACCCAGCACTGCCATGTCCACCACAAAACTATGTCTTTAAGTGCCACATCTACACGCCTTTTAAATGCCTCTGTGGATGGTGACTCAACCACTTCCCTGGGCAGCCTGTTCAAATGCTTGACAATCCTTCTGGTGGAGAAATTTTTCCTCATATCCAATCTAAATCTCCTCTGGCACAACTTAAGGCCATTATCTCTTTTCCTATCACTTTTTACTTGGGAGAAGAGACCGACACCCATGTTGATAAAGCCTCCTTCCAGGTAGTTGTAGAAATTGATAAGGTCTCACCTGAGCCTCCTTTTCTCCAGGCTAAACAACCACTGTCCCCTCAGCTGTTCCTCATGAGACTTGTGCTCTAGGCCCTTCACCAGCTTCATTGACCTTCTTTGGATACTCTCCAGCATTTCGATGTCTTTCTCATAGTGAGTAGCCCAGAACTGAACACAGGATTTGATGTGTGGCTTCACCAGTGCCCAGTACAGGAGGATGATCACTTCCTTGGCCCTTCTGGCTGCACTATTGCTGATCCAGGTCTGGATGCCACTGGCCTTCTTGGCCACATTGGCACAAGCTGGCTCATGTTCAGCTCTGTCAATCAGCACTCCGAAGTCCTTTTCTGCCAAGCAGCTTTCTAGCCACTCTTCCCCAAGCCTCTAGCACTGCATGGGTTGTTGTGGCCCAAGTGCAGGACCTGGCACTGAGCCGTGTCGAACCTCATACAAATGGCCTCAACCCATTGATTCAGCCTGTCCAGATCCCTCTGCAGAGCCTACCCTCCAGCACATCAACACTCCTGCCCTGTGTGGTGTTGTCTGCAAACTTACTGAGGGTGCACTCTGTCTCCTTGTCTAGAACCTTGATGAAGATATTAAACAGAACTGGCCCCTATACTGAGCCTGGAGAACACCACTTGTGACCAGCCACCAACTGGATTTAACTCCATTCACCACCAGTGTTTGGGCTCATCCAGTCAGCCAGTTTTTACCCAGAAGAGTATGCCCATCCACGCTATGAGCAGCCAGTTTCTCCAGGAAGAATGCTGTGATAAAGTGTATCAAAGGCTTTACTAAAGTTTAGGTAGACAACATCCACATCCTTTCCATCATCCACTAAATGGGTCACCTTGTCGTAGAGGGAGATCAAGTTAGTCAAGCAGGACCTGCCTTTCATAAACCCATGCTGACTGTGCCTTGTCACCAGGTTGTCCTGTGCATGTGATGGCACTCAAGATGATCTGCTCCGTAATCTTCCCAGCACTGAGGTCAGACTGAAAAGCCAGATCCTTCTTCCAGCCCTTCTTGTAGATGGGCATCACAGTTACTATCTTCCAGTCAGCTGGAATCTCCCGAGTTAGCCAGAACTGCTGCGGTGGATCCCCATCTGGCCCCATAGATTTGTGTGTCTTAAGTGGTGTAGCAGGTCACCGACCATTCTCCCTTGGATTATGGAGGGTTCATCCTGCTGTCTCTTCCATTTTAGGAGGCTGGTACTCAGAGAACAACTGGTCTTACTGTTAAAGACTGAGTCAAAGACGGCATTATGTACCTCATCCTTTTCCTCAGCCTTTATCACTATGTTTTCCCCCCCTACATCCAAGAAAGGGTGGATATTCTTCTTATACCTTCTTTTACTGCTAATGTATTTCTGGAAACGTCTTTATAGTCTTTTGTGGCAGTAGATAAAGTTCTAGCTTTCTGCCCTTCAAAAACTCCCTAAACCTGAGAATTTCTCAGCTGTCCTTTTAAGCAGCATACAAAATCTTTTTGGCCCAAGATATAATGCTAAATATAAAATATTTGGCATTGGAGTGGTGAAAGGTGGCAACGTTATAGCGTGAATTTGGATGCAATAATAATGAGTTCTCCAGAAGAGGAGGATGAATTCATTTTCCATCTCTTTCTTTATAGAGTACACATATCTTTTCACAGGTTCTGCAAATAAATATTAACAACTGCTCAGCTGTGAGGAGCAGCCTGGGCCTGAGCTGCAGGAGAAGCTGTTTGTTGAATTACATCTGAGATTTTGCAAGGCCCTGCCATTGGTTTTAGGAGACTAGTCTGAGAACTGAAGTATCTGAAAATGTAGGAAAAATTATAGTCACATGCTCTTAAAAGGGCTGGAAATTTGCCTTTTTTAAGCTCATTTCCAAAATGAAAAAGATTGATACATGTATATGGTTTGGAATGTGCATAAGCATACAAAACGCATACAAAAAATTTAATTTCACAACTCCAAAAGAGACATGGATAAGCTGCTGGAATCAGGTCTGGGAAAAGCATCCAAGTATTACTGACTGCCTGTGACTTTAAGTATTTGGGTCTGATCTTATTTCAGTAGCTGTCTGCCTTAAGGCAATTTTTTCCTTGATTTTTAAGAATGCAACCTGATTGTTTTCAGGGAGGGGACAAGACACCATTATTTTTCTGCATGTTTTTGGTAATGGCCAGAGAAACTGTTGCCTTGGAATGTTCTTGCCTCCTCTCTATGGAGAGCAAGGGAAACTCTGAGCAGAGAAAGCTGATGAACACCCAGACAACATTCAGGTACAGAGGCATGGTGAAGAAGCTTTGTAGACAAGGTTCAACTGCAGAAAAGAAGAGCTAGATTCTTGAGATACCGCACAGTAATGCAACTATACTTGGACTGGGAAATTTGGGTCATAAACTAGGCTGAGGACTGGCATACTGGAATCAGGAGGCTTTGGAAGGATGAGCAGACAAGAAGAGGAAGTTTAGGAAGAAGAGGGGAGTGCAAAGCTGGTACATCAAGTATGCTAACCCTGTGACCAGTAGTTTGGGAAAGAAAAAGTGGAGGTAACAGATTACAAAGATAACTGAGAAGCTGAGAACTGGATCTTCCTGCTTTTTAGGTTAGAGAATTCTGAGTTTGACTGAGAAGCAGAAGCAGCAGTTTGGAAGAGACAGTGCGTGGCTGGAAAGAGTATCATCAGAGACAAGGACAGGAGGGCTGGTTGAGCTGAGTTGAGCTTGGGAGCTTTGGCAAAGGGGGGCTGGGACTCCCTGAGCAAGGAGCATGGGCAGCATTGACCTGAAGTGCTGAGAGGGGGTTTGGTGAGGTGAGAAGCCCAGGAATAAGATGAGCAGCCAATGGTGTGACAGAGCAGTTTATTCTTTAAAAGGTCAGGAAATAATACATGACAGCAAGTGTTAAATTGACATAATTGAGATTCTAAATGTGTTTACCTGAAACGTAGATTCTGCCAGAATTAGGCATATTTTGCATCATAAATGTTATGCAAAGCTTCATACACTTGAAAACTGTCATTAGTCACATAACTGAATACTAATTTATGAGATGGCCTTTGCCTTTTTCTGTACATAGGATGAACAATTCTTACTTACTGTGCTATTCAGAAGGCCCCAAGATGGTTTCCAGGTTATCTAAGAGACCTTTCTTTACTTTTGCTGTGAATAACAGGCTTCTGAAACTGTATATACAGTGTCTCATTTTGCAATATTTGTTGTCAGTCCTGGAAGTCAGGGTAGCAGACAATCCAAGGCTGTATCTTCCTGGCAGGATTTGCTGTGTTAGGAAATACACTTTGCAGAAGAAAACAAAAGAAGGAGACCAGTATGTTTTGGACCAAATATTAGGTACATTTCTATTTTACCTACTACTGAAAGGAGAAAATTGCTTAAAATATTAGAGAAAAACAATTCCTGAAATGCCAGTGCTTTTATGCGGTTTTAAGTGGCAGTAAAATGGGTCCTCAATCAATAAAAATAAAGATCAGAATGACTTATTT